AGGATACATATATAATGTAGCACATTCAGAAGTCATAAAGTTCAAAAATTTTCATGCTATAATTCTTCGCGGATGAAATCTTTTAAAAACCAAAAAATAATAGGATACCTTGGTTCCCATCACGGTGTAGGTTTTTCCTGACGCGCTTTGTCCGTACGCCACCAAACAGGAATTATAGCCAGTGAAAAGAGCGTCCAAGACGGTTTGGCCAAGCGTCTGGTAAATCCTTGCCTGGTCCGCGAAACTCTGTGCCTCTGGATTCGACGAATCGAAGCAGTAATCGAAACCATATTTCCGTGTTCTTTCACGACTATCTCCAGCTTTGCTTGAAGATACTTTCACGTTTGTTAAGGAAATCCCATTCGACTCCGTATGAACAACCACCTCTGATCCAGTTAAATTCAGCTCTCTATATGAAAGAAAAAATGTCACGTTTTACTTCGCTTGCTACGAAAAACAGAAATGAAAAACGACAAAGAACTCGTAGGCTTCTGTACAAAAGCCACAAATTCATTTTTTATTCATTTTATCGAACAGAGAGGCACAAAGATTCTTTCTCCTGCGTGCTTCGTAAAAACATTTTTCCACGTTCCCTGAGTCGAAATCGACTCATCGATGCATATACCATTTACACGAATCGCTTTTGTATTCGAACGTGTTCCAAAATTCTCTCGAATTCCTATCGGTGGTCCGATCCTTCCGCTATTTTCCATTAGCGTTTCCGGTTTCCTTGAGGCGCTCGATTTCGTCATCGATCGATCAAGGCACGGTCCATTAACGGATCGTTCAGCCTGTCTTACCAACATCGGGCAATTCCTGCAATTTAATCCTCGCCACGAAACAACGATCCTCGTCCGATTATACCACGAATGGTTTTTCGATTCGGCGACGTAGTTCCATTCGAATCGCTCGGTAGGTCGAGCAGATGGGATTGCTAATTCGTGGAAAAAGATCTTAGAAGGGGAAACCGATAACACCAAGTTAACTGTCACAAACTTCCGTTCTTCCAGGCCAGATTCGGAATTTCCAGAGACATTCGAGTAACTTCCTCGCGGGATTATCAGATCCTACTGCGGAAGATCTATCGGAAAAACGCGTCTGGTAATGTTATCGATAATTTTCGTTCGCGGATTTCCAGCCAGTCCAAAGGTATACTGGATACAAGGGCAACTGATTTCAACCACGTTCAAATGAGTTTTTGGTTTCCCTTGTGTCCTGTGGTATGACGTTTAACGTAACGCCGGATAAGTAGTAATAGTAGCCTCCATGATAGTTATATTAATAACTTTGGTGTTCTTGCAGTACCGTTTTTATTCCTGAAACGCACCATTTTTAGACCTTTTTACGTTACTTCCTTTTATTTCTGAAATGATTTTTTGAGAGTTCCTGCGCTATCGTTTTTAATTTCACAAACTCTATTTTAACGTTTTGTACATTGTCTTTTCATCGCAAGAGTTGGTTTTTCGAAAACCTTCCGTTTTTTCATTTATTACTGCGACTATATTTTTAGTTTTTGCGTTAGTATTCTTTTTGTATTCTATTTTATTCTTTCTTTAGATTTCTTTATTAGAGTAGAACATTCCTTAATATACACACCTTGTTATCTTTTCCTGATTGAGATTTTTTTTATGACTTTATAGCCTCTGAACTTTCCTCGTAATAATCAATCAATGTGAAAATTGTCGAAGAAGTTATTTAACAACGTGGAATACAGTATGCAGTCCTATGTATCACTGAACAGTGTAACACTGTCTTAATTTTGAATCTACTGGAAGAGCGACGATTGTACACACGTGGGTATCTCGCGTGCGTGTGACGCATTCGAGCAGAGAAAGCAGTAAAGTTAAAAGTACTTTAACCCCGGTCCTTGCGTGATCCTATCATGGCCCTGTTCGCTCTCTAATCGTCACGATTTCGTGCCCCGTATCCGCGTTTTTGCGAAATTAATACCTACTACCTGTTCGGTAAAACGCTTTAGCTCGTACGAGTTATTTGTGAAGATCAGAAATGATTTCCAGGTTTGTTCTGCCGAAATTGATCTATCTAGATCCTGTGCAATCTTTGTAGCTACGAATTGTTGCCGTGATTTTTCAGTAAGTCTGTATGTGACTTAAATTATCTACACATTTTAAATTATCATCAAATTAAACAAATTAAGACATAGCGTGAACAAACTTTACAAAAATATTGAAAATTAGTGAACTAACACCTTCATCAAAGGCTTTTGCACAGTTCTATAAGAAACCTCCGCAGAATTCTACATTTCAACTTCTGTTTCACTACTTTCACCACAATTAAAACGAACCTAATCATATCTTTTTCCTACACAAACTCAATAAACAAATCAATTCCAAACAAATAAAAAATATTCGATCCTCGACAATCGCATCATCGATCCAGTCAATAATTCCGGAACTCTATTCAACTCGGTTCAATACAGGGCCACTTCACATTCGCATCGATCAACTCCATCAATCGTCGATTCGCAGGAAGCTCGTGACAGAGATCCAACCCGCCGATCCATCCGTTCGTGGATAGCCCTTTCATCGTCGAACAAAATGGCCGACCAAACAGCTCTGAATGAAGCGTACAAGCATACACGTTCAAGGGAAGACCGTTACTCGTTCTGATCAACGCAAAAAGCGTCCAAGAACACATATGGCTGGGTCCAAGGAAACCTCGATGAAGAGAGGAGATCTTGAATGAACCAAGGCAGCGTACGCGAATAGCAACAGTCCGCTTGTTATTATCCTCTTGGTCCTCTTCCGTTGCGAGAAGGCGCCGCTTCGAGTGTTATTCTCGAACGGATGCTCCTCTCTTTCTCTCTCGCTATTCCTGTTTCAAGTCGTTAAACTGTCTGGCCGTGTGTCATCGGCGTATCGTGCTGCTCGTACGTCACTCCACGGATCGGTCGATCCTTTATCGCGAGAACATCCCCCGGATCGGCAAGGGCTTCCTTAGGAAATTTGCTGCTTTAAATAAACCCAGCGACGACACTCTTCGCAGTGGTCTTACTCGCTGCAAAGGTGGAAGCTTTATTATACTTTATTCGGTTCTATGTTGAATTATCGAAGAGCTTCTTTTTAATCTACATCCTTCATACTTTTTAAACTACATCTTTTCGATCATTTTCGACTGAATCATGTTTAAGAAGAATACATAAGAGTCCTAGTTAACGTGTACAATTCCTCGCTTTTTCTTATAAAACATTAAAAATGTTTAATTCGATAACAGAATTGGGACATAAAAATTCGAAGACTATGATAGAGTTAATCATAATGTCGTTAACTTTACATCTCTGCCATTATAATAGCACGTTAATTTATTTATTTATTCTGGATGGTCGAAAAATACATAAGTTCAGAAGCTTTTAAAAGTATATTTACAATAGTTTGTCAATGACCCTAATTTCATTCTCTTCGGCCAAGTTTATTACGTTTCCTAGCCGAGAGCAATTGTTAGTTTGTCTTACTTTCGCGCTCTGGCCTCGTCTTCTAAGTATAGAAACGAGTTCATAAGTAGCGACTCAAAGGCACACCGCGTATCCCTATAAATCTGCCTCCAGATTTCTGTCCCCGTTCGTTTCTCGCTACGGCCGTCTCGAAATATGTAATTATTGCCGAGACGCGCGTTTCTGTTTGCCTTCCAAACAGACACCCGTCCATTACCGAACGTTCCTCGTAAAACCGTGGAACGAAAGAAAATTGAATTTACAAAAATGAAATTGCGGTGTATAAGGAAGCAGTAAACCTTGACCTTAAGTTCCAAAGAAACATGTGTATATCGGGAACATGGGGAAAGGGAGAACGTGATTTCCGTCGATCTTTTCGCCTATTCCTTAAAATACATTTACAACTTACCAACAGAAATGAGTTTAATAGCAAAAGCAACTCGCAACGTAGAATTTTCAACTAATACTTTTCATTAGTCAAAGCACCTTCCTACCTTACAGTTTCGTTCGATTTTCAAAAACGCTTCACTCTGTCGCATGCAGATCCAGTCTGTTCGAATCTGTGATTAACTTCAATTACAGTTACAAATACTTTCTGATATTTCTTTTTATCATGCGATTAATGCGATCTAATACTCACCTGGCAGAGATCGGTCTTACGCGAACTGCCACCTTGATGTTCGCCATATTGCCATCGCGTGGACAACAATAATTAGCATCAGCTGGCTCCCATCGTAGTTAAGTGGCTTGTATCCGTGGTACGTCCAAGCAAGAGCGATCGAGCGAAACCATCCAACAGACGACGCAACGTCGAAAGATCGGCCACGTTACATTTTGTACCGTCACGTTAAACGACCGAACGACGATGCACACGGAGAAGAGAAGTCGAAAGGAGCTGTACGTGCACTGGCCGGGTGCACGTGTTGTACTGTTGCGATGAAAATACCCTCGAGTCGCTTCCAAGACCATACGCCGCCGATGGTTTACCCCACCCAGAGAGAGAACTCGGCCGAACTCGTAACATTTTGCCTAAACTCCTGCGGACACTCCGCTACTGTGGTTTAAGTGATGCCGCATTTTCTTGTCGCATCCTTGCTGGCAAATTGTTGCGAGTTATTGAAAATAACGAAGGATTACTGCCCTCTACAGTAGATACCCTGGATTAACGCTTATTTTGATTATAATTCTATTATTCTCTCCTGAAATAATCTCCTCGTAATCTTCAGCGTTCGTAAACTTCTTGAGATAAATCGGTACTACTTGAGGTAATTAAGGAACCACGCGTGGTCTAGTAAATGTAGCGTGTCTCACGATACGTACATATATACTCATAATAAGCCGGATGTTTGGTAAACACGCTTAAGTAAATATCGTGTTAAATTATAAGCATGAGTAGTAGGCGCGTCTAATTTGTTCAATCTGTGCGCGTTGTACTACACAGAAATAGATCTCCTTCTTGGAGAAAGATGTAATAAATAAGAAAAGACGTTTTCGGCAGTGATCATGAAAGGAAATATTCCAACGATTAGTATTAAATCAGTTATCGTTAAAAATCCTCTGTTTTCTAGTTTATTGTAAGAGTTTCTATCTCGATTCCAATTGTCTTTGGATGCGATCTACACCAGAAGATATCCATCGATCTTAAGAACGAGAAAGAAAACACGAACTTTCCGTCGACACTTTGTTTTACACGGATATTTTTAGGCTAGTGGAACGACTAAAGTACTTATATTCTCTGTAAGTTGAGTCATCATGAGATGTCGTCTACAATCGTAAAGCTTGTCGTACAAACATCTACGTTCATTGGTGAGACCATTAATCGCCTTCGGTGGCTGTAAGGACCGTGAAGTATGAGAACGACGTACTCAGAACCTGCAAAACAGGCAAGATTCCATAAGAAAAAGCTTCAGGTGCTCGAGCGAAACGACCATCTCTTTCTCATAATAAATAACGCGGATCCTTCAAAAAATTTTTATTCACCGCTGAGAAACTCTCCAAGGACATGGCATAGAACTTTGCCGCGGTGATTTTGCTGGGAATCCTCGCGCGCATCATCATGATTTGAAGACTCTGGCTGAATCTGCTGCCGATCCATCCACTGCCATAAGCGGAGTCACCCACTGCTCCGCTCTATATTATCATTGGTCAGCGATCATTTCAATACGACTTTATAATTTAAATTCTTGAAATTCTTCTGAATTTTCAATAAAATTTTTCAAACAGCTTCTTTCATGAAAGCGACTATAATTTTTAAAATCACCTCGTCGATCAAGCCATTTCCACTGAAGCTGAACATGAACAGCTCAAGAATGGCCGAGTTCAAGAAGGTCGAATATTTCATCAGGCGACCCTTGTCCTTCATCATCTAGAAAGGTCACTTTTTATCGACGATGCCTTGACTCGTGAGCATCGAGCGGACGCACCGAGGTAATCTGGAATCCCGCGAAGCAGATCAGGCCGGTGCTAATGATGAATTGCCCCAAAGCCAGAACATTTATGATCCTTTCCAGTGCATCTGCGTACCTGCGAACAGATTATTCCACGCGAACGTAGAGCAGTATATCTTACTGGTAACTGATCGTCTAGAAAAATGTCTGCGACAGGATTACTAAAAAAAACTCAATACATATTATTACAACGATGATTATAGATAGATATATAGACTGAAAATGTTTATGCATTTATGAGAAATTTAAATACACATAATATGCAAATTTATACAAAATATAGAAAATAAATGTTAATATATGAAACAAATCTTTATTTAGATTTCATTTCATTAATTATATTCATAAAAATGGGCATTTGCATAAACATTCGTAATCTAGTATAAATTGTAATTTAATATAGTTCAGAATAATAGCAACTGATATTGCTCTATCTACCGTGCAACAACATCATACATCCAACAAATTAAAGTGCAAATTCGTGATAGGACAAGTGACGCCCACTCTATCGCTTTCTGGTGACGAATCACGTAATTGCTCATGATAGCGGTAGAATTAGGATCTTCTCCACTGAGAGCCTCCAGCCTTTTCCGCAAAACTGCAAACTTGCCCGAACCGTGCATTATTACCACCAGATTGAAACTGGTAGCACCGGCAATCATACTTCCGCCAAAGCCACCCGCTGTTACGTTAAAGAAATAAAGGCACTCAAACACCGGTGATATGGTATGATTGACAAAAAAATATCCTCGAAACGGAAGTACCCTTTCGTTGCTACCAAACGCGTAAATCTGCAACGGAATTTTGCTTGTTATTATTATTTAATGTTTCATCGAACGTTATCATCATATGTAAAATTACACAGATGTAAATCTAGTGTATTTTTAGGTTGAATGAGAGTGTGAACAATCTATCTATGTAAATCAATCTCATTTCGTAGCCGGCAGGCGGAAATTAATAATATATACAGTACACGTTATAATATTCAGCAAGTGAAACAAATTTGTGCTCAAGTTCCATTTCCTTAATTATATTCATAAAAATATGAATTTGCATAAGCATACAATTTATCCATGAGCAGTTTAAGTGAAACCATTTTCAAGCTTTAAAATTCTGTCATTGAGTTTAGACATTTTCAAACTAAAATTCTCCAATTGAATTCTCACGCATACCTCTAAAAACGGGATACACATGAACAGTACAATCGTCATAGCCACGGTACTGATAAAATATTTCGCGAGACGAAAGGCAAACATCGTTTTCTTCGCTAAAATTGTTCGATCTTCGTGAGAGGACAAGATCCAATCCTCTTTCATCGTCTTCACCACGTAGAACATGTCCTTCTGATGGAGCGAATACACTAGCAAACGGACTACACAGAGGTAAAATGCTGTACAAATCAGTGCGCATTCGGTCGCTTCATTCAAGTCATCTATATTGTGAACTACGTCGGCTGTCACCGCGATGGACATCACTACCGCCTGAAAATTCAATCTCTCAATACCATTCTCTTAATTCTGGTGAAGTATTGGGTTATTCGGAAAGTTCGTAGCGTTTTGAAGATTAAAAGTAAAGATTAATCGATAATTCTACTTGAACATCAGATACAGTAATGAACGGGAAGAATTCGAGATTAATCAATGTGGAAGGTATTTAACGACATAACGTTCACCAACGTTAACTCGCAAAAAGCTTTTCTTTCAATAAGAAAAAATAAAATACTACAGAATCTATAAAAACCACTTGAAACCATTTACCGTTGGAAGATTGTTTGGAAAAGCAATCTTATAAAAGAAACAGGCTAGGTATAAATTGTTTAATAAAATTCTAATTCTATAAAAAAAAACATTATTTTTAAACATTTTTCTAAATTTCGCTACGAACATACCGAACAAATTAATAAATTATCAACTAACCAATTCTCCACTTTAAATCTCGGGAATATAAATAGCGCCGAGACTTTCATTTAACTCGAAGTTAATTCTACTTGATCAGAGCTTACATTTACTGTTTGATTTTATTGCATCCTAATACCTTTGTTAAATAATACATCGATGTATTGCAGCACTTACCAGAAAAAACATACAGAACAAGTGGAATCTCCTAAATAATATTGTTCCCTTGCCACTGTCCTCCTCCAATGGCCAGATGGAAATTATTTTTGCGGTTATCATGATTGGTTTAATCAATTCATCGTACTCTTTACCAGAGAATTGTTGATCACTCATTTCTATGGCTCGATGCGAATTTCAAACGAACTTGTTTCTTTGCCAAATCGTATGACTTACGATAAAACAGATTTATTCTAGCACGAGTTCTAGCACGACTTCTAGCACGAGTCGCTTGGACAAATGCGACGACAAAAAGTCGCAAAAAATGTCGCTACAGTCTAACGCAAAATCGATCGAAAACATAAATGATAGTTATCCTACTGCAATGGGAGGATCGTGACAATTCACAGTGATTGAAACTTTATGATAGTTAGGTACTTCGTGTAACTTCTTTTCACTGGGGCTGGCGAAATAGCTTACCGCGTGGAGAGATAACTGTAGTTACGAAAATATGCAACTTTGTTAAAACTACTGTATATGATTTTCCTTCTATATTCGATGTAATGTTCTTCCTTTTCTTTTTTCTCTCTCTCCTTTTACAAGTCAAATTCCGGTCTTCGCAAAAGTTTCAGCACACACCTATAATTTCGATGAAATAGTATAAAGGACGACACATAATCGTAATTATGATATGTAGAATGTAACTAAGAATGCTGAGTGTATTTTTCTTATACCTCGTGATATAATTTTAAATTATTAAAAATCCGCGATTTGTATTCCCGGTTTTAAAATACGAATATCACGCCATCTTCCACAGAAAGTTAGAAATTTCTGAATATGAAGCATCATAAACTTCTATTGACAACCATAAAAATACCATGGATAATATATAAACGCACATGTATATGTATCGATAAGATACAGAATAGATGTGACGTTTAATGCTTTTTCGTGTCTCATGTTTTGGGAATCACCTAATTCCCTATACCATTTTCGTATCGCATGCGACATTATCGATCCAGTATAGTAGTGATATGTATACCATCATTGACTAAAAACAACATAAACGCGATATTAAATAAGTCTTTGTGTTTCGCGTTCTGAAATACCGACTTCGGAAAAAGTCAGTGTTTTTCACGCCTTCTGCAATGTATAACGTCACGTCACGACGATTATAATTATGTCAGAGTAGGAATTTGTTTACTGATCCGGTGAAATTTTTACATCATATAATATCAACTCTCATTTTTCTTGATATACAATATATATATAATTATGAAATAAGATTATTTATAATAATTTTAAATAATGCAACAACAAATTAAAAATATTCATCGGTATCGAACAGATATATTTTTCAACAGTATTTCCATTAACGAACGCCCAGAGGGATGCTGAAAAAGAAATAAATCCAATAGCCAGAAGGGCGATCCACTCGATAGAATCCCGAACATACCACGAGTGGAAAATATTTTTCTATTTCGCAACACTAATTTACTAAATCCATAATCATAAAATAGAAATTTCTCGGAGTGCTTTATCATATTTGCAATGCTATTTAATTTGTTAGTGACAAAAAAAAAGAAAAAAAAGAAAGAAAAAATGAAAAATCGCGAGAGCATACACCGCAGTAGGGTGTTTTAATCATTCACGCAACACTAATAAATACTACGTATGCACTCATACTTCAACATACGCAACGCTAATATCGAAATGTCGAAGTGCAGCTATATTAAAAGCTGCCGATGCTTGACCACCTTTTTGCAACTGTTTTCGTTGCATCAGGTGATCCAGGAACAGGAACAGGTTTCCACAAGTGGAAGAAGTTTGGGCATTTCATAGACGCAACACTACGCATAGGAACGCGATCATTCATCAACGCAACACTAATCGAAAAAGCTATTTAAACAATCTCGATGAAATATATCGCAACGCTAATTCTTAAAATGAATCTAACGTAAAGTTACTATTTATAAATGAAAAAAAACTACTTTAACTATGCGCGATGATCACAAATCGCAACGCTACAAAACTAATTCAAAACTAACGTCATTTGAATTCAACTTAAAATAAAACAAAGCGCAACAAATTTAAATTCTATTCTTTAATAAATCTTATAACTCGCAACACTAAAGCAAACGCGATCGTCTTTTCATCGCAACGCTAATCCAAACCGAAGTGAGTATTTTCTCGCAACTCTAATTCAAACCTTAATTAGTCAATCGCAATGCTAATTAAAAAACCGCGATTAGCCCAATATGACGATGGGCCGACATGTACGTCGGCAAATAAACAAATCACAACTAATACTACTACAAATACTAAAAGCGAGTACAGTGACAAAGTAGTAACGAGAATGACTTTCCATCCTCTGGATGATCCAGAAGATGAAAAGCCATTAGTAGTTGCCCTCTTGCATGGCAATTTGCCGGGCCTCTTCGGCTCATAGCCTCTTCTTTCTTCGGGCGCGATGCCCGCTGAAACTTACATCTAAGCTCGAGACTTTCTAAATCGCAAACCAAAAAATAACGTACAAAGGTGAAATAAAAACATAAATCGCGGAAGCTGATCCAAATACACATGGATGAACAACGACCATATAGAGATCGCTATCCGTTCGCATGTGCATGCTCGAGCAATATTAACGTTCGTGTCGAAACCCAATCGCGATCGCGACCGCGAAAATCAAAAAATCGATGGGCGAAGCCAGAGACGATGGCATGTTCCATTCGTGCCAGCTTCACCGTCGATTTTTCGAATGAAATTTCCTGAAACAGGTTGGACACGCGAAAACGCGCCTACCCGACGAGAGACTGTGCCAACCTGCCCGGCCCTACCTACTTATAGTTAACAATCATACCAGAAAATATACTACCTATCCTACCCGGAAACCTATATTTAAAATTAAAGAAATAGCAAAACAAGCACACCAACACATTCACTCCACGGTTCTCACACATAACCCGGGCGCAAAGGCCTACACTAGAGAGACGTCCCGGGACGCCTCCGACACCCGAGTTTGACGTACAACATGCACACTCTAATGTTACGTACCATTTTCCTGAAATCGACTGACGAAAGCTAGCGACCATTGCGTACAACGCGATAAAAGTTAACCTCAATTTTAATTACAAATATTCCTAATTCAGAGAGTGTGTTTATTTTTCAAAGAAATTGTAGATGGTACGAAATATGGCACCATTTATTATAATTTAACAATAAAATTAATGATACTAATATCTCTGATTCCCTGTATTCGATAACGAATCTTTGTTTTTACAGGTTGTGATTTTTTATTATTTAGATCTATACTAAATGGGAGAAGTACCAAAACGACGCAATTCCACAGCCTAACCACACACACTATGTAGAAAGTACGTCGTGCACGATACGCTAACTCGTCGTCAGTCGCTTACAAATCATTATAAAATCAATGGTCATCGTACTCATTGCCTTTCTCTCACCCAAGTAGCACCTGGGCACGTGAGTGAGATCCTGGCATTAAATACGGAAGGGGTTAAACCTGAAAATCCTAACTAAAAAACGTATTAATTTGTATTTAACGGGCTAATCTTTCTTTATTTTGCATTTTCGAACTTTATCTCTATTATTATCACTATATAGTCTAGATTATTAATTTAATAATTTACCGAAATACTAATATTGAATTTATTTATAGAAAATAGCATAAATAGGATCAATGCAATATGATTCATTCAAATAATTGACACTATGAATTATTGAAATTACATTACAAAAGAAACAAACTGATACTGAGTAAGAAATTTATTTAATGATTGACTCAAAATTAAATATTAATGCAAACAACCTCAGGCAATCCCTTCATCAAAGCACATCTTCGAAAGTACGAAAGCAGTGTTCAAAACTTGTTACTTTGATTCTAAAATTTGCCTGTCGCGAAATTTCTTCTTGCACATAAAATTCAATACATTTTTGACGGCAGCATTGAACTTTAATATCTTTATATTTATATTTTAAATCAATAGCCAAACTCGAAAATGAAGGGCAAACAATTAAATCCTTTGAAATAATGTCATCAGAAAACAGAAGGTGAAATAAAAATGACTTATTATTATTATTACCATTAGATATGCAATAATTGCAATTTTTGATGCAACGAAGTCGGAGTCAGTAAATAGACATTCCAACTTTAAAAATAATTATAGTGAATATATCTTCGATCACAAATATTCAAATTAATTATTAATATAATATCGTTTATATCAGTTAGTACCATTATCGATATTATTAATATAAAATTTATCAGTAATTGATATAAAAAACGCGATATGCAAGAAGACCTATCCTGAACTAATAAATAATACACAGAAGAAATGTTACTACTCACGGATATAACAAACATCCGCGGTCACTGTACGCGCAAAAAATTCTACGTAAATTACAACCAATCACCCGTGTCGATTCGAACCTTTCGTCCTACGACATGATTGAGTGACCGGAGGAACAAAAATGCATGCGACTTACGATATGATGCGCAGAACGTAATCATCGATGGTAGACCATGGTGTAGGGTAGGTAAGTCATGGCGTAGATCGTCATCAAGGAGGAGCCACGTAATGCCATAGAAGAAAACTGTAACAAAACATGGAATATTATAATTTGTTCTGAAGGAAAATGTTAATTATTTGAAAAATTTGAAATAGTGGAATATTAATCTCTATTAAAATTATAATGACAATATTCAATTCAAAAATAACAAATTTAAATAACAAGGAATAAAATTAAGTACAGATTACAAAATTATTTACATTCTTGGCTTTTGAAGCCCCACTAGGTTCCTTTCAGGAAACAGGAAGAAGAGGAAGGAGTAATAAACCTTTAACAAAATATGAACTATTATATATAAATGATACATATGTATGAATAATTTCTTTTCATGACTAATTTATTATGAAAACTAAGTGATGATTGATCAAAAAATTTGAGATAATGAAATATGAAATATGAAATACTCTATGAAAACTTTGAACTTTAATAATAATAAAAAAATTAAATTGCTAATAAACTTTAAGTACTATAACAATTGAAATTCTGATATTAAAATTTAAGGTCAGATCTTATTTTTTAATTAATAATAATTGAAGCAAAATACAAAGAATGAAATTAATTGGAATATGACACGCAAAGATTCTTACATGCTTACTTATGAAGCATCACCGCATCCTTCCCAAAACACAGGAAGAAATGGGAATTGTGAAAAACCTGAAACAAAACAAATGAAATGTTACAATTTGTTCTTAAAAATATACTGTTCATTGCGAGTGACCGTAAAGAGTTCGAAGGTAATGAAAGACAAAACTCTATTCAAACTTGAAATTTTAATAATAATAAAAATCGAAATTCTGTTAAAATCTAATTATTACATAAATTGGAACGCTAAAATAACAATTTCTAACCTAGGACTGATAAGAATCTAATGATTTTTGAAGCATGATAAACATTTTTATTGTGTATTTCAATATTGAAACTTTAAAATTTTATATCAATAGAAATTAATAATAGTTCAATCAAAATATGAATAATAAAATTAATTAGAACACAGTATACAGGAATACTTACATTGTTGAATTCCAGGAGAGGCTGTATCCTCTTGCGAAACCTGCGACTCTACTACCGAAAGCGAATGTTTAAAAAGATGTATAAAAAAAAGAAAAAAAAGGACTATTAACACGTCCGTAGTTAAGTAACAATCGGCGAACACACTGACTCTAATCTCGCGTACAACTATTGTAATTGAATTTATAATTATTGAGCTATTGTGCTCTAGAAAATACAAATGTTATTATGCAGCTAACACTGACTCTACCAACCGCATTGCGCGCGGTCACAAACATTCTCTGAGAAAAGGTTACATTAGCAAGGAGGCAGAGAAGGAGGCTGAACATTTGTTTACGAAATACTGTTGCTTCTCGAAACTTATATACTATATATCGATTATTTTTGTTATCAATAAACAGGTATTCCATATACATATTACATATACAAGAAAATGAAATATACGTGCAATATTTCAAATACTGTTTATGCATTGTAAAATATTTTCTAACATATTTCCAAATATTTATTACTATTCTAAAATATGAAACTAATTCTACAAGAAAAATTCAATTGTGAATATTCGCTATCAGAGTTTGAAATATGGTTTCTACTAATATACATTGTACTTTATGGAGACAATGCTTGTGATAAAT